CTAAACCCTTCAACTCCTAAACCCGAAACCTTAATCCCTTTGAATCCTATAAACCCTAGACCCGAAACAATGAAAAAACACCCTTTGTGAAGCCAACCTCGACTTTGGTGAGGATTGCCTCTCAGCAAGAAGAGCCGGAGGATGCCAGGCTCACAAACAGAAAAGGATTTCAGGAGCTTATTTTTGAATAGAACAGGGTTTTGCGGCTCCTTGGTAGTATAGTCCCTAGGGGCCTTTATGATTAGAATAGGCTTTGGGGCTCCTGTGTAGAATAGCTATATAATGAGGAACCCCATAAGGAAGACTAGTTGTACTTCTTTAGGCTTCTACGTTAGCTTAAATGGAAAGCTATAAGCACTAGAGTCACTAGAGGCTTGGCTTGTGAAGTATTGAAGCTTCGGGCGCGAAAACACCGAACTGAGCTCCTAGTCAAACCTGCGGAAAGGCTCAGTTTTAGGTTTAGGGTTTAGGGTTTTAGGGGTTTTGGGTTTAGGGTTTTAGGTTTAGGGTTTACGGCTTGCGACTTTCAACTGAAGGCCTTTTTCTTTGCAGGATTCCAGTCGGGGCTAGAGTTGGGAATCTTGCTGCCAAGTGCACGTTGTTTCCTACCAGGTTTCCAAGGTTTCCACGTCCACCATATCGCATGGCAAGCTCGTACTTTCAGCAAAGAGGAGCCATAGGGTTTTGTATGGGAAAAGTTCTGTCTGGAGAACTTCCAGCGATGGTGCTCCTGACAAGTCACTGGATGCCTTATTTCTATACTGCTGCACTCATGTATGACAGCAATATATTGCAGCCCGTCCAAGAAAACGCAATCTAGATCGGGATCCCGAGGAAAGTACGTCACAACATGATGTACCACAGCCACATAGTAACAGAATCTACCTTTTTCATGGCTATATACATAAAAAGGCTGGCTGACAGATACTGTATACATGCAACTGTGATTGAATGTTTTGATATTGCCATTGCAGAATTGTCATCGCCCATGGCTCTTGTTCAGGAGTGGAGTGAGGCTGCTCTGCATATTTTTCATACTCTTGCAAGGTCCCTAAATCCTCAACACTAGAACCTCAAACCCTGGATTGAACATGCTACTAATGTGCTCGGAGTTTTGCTGAAACACACACCACAGTGTCCCTTATCATCGCTAACAATAACAAGAATATAGTATTCAGTGCCACATCAATCCTACTTTCTGAACCACAAAGACGAAACCCTAACACTTCCCACTGCCTTCGAATATGAGTTCCATAGTAGCATACAGGTACTTCTTATCTCCCCTTCGCCATAGTCCTTGCTACAGGTGCGGGGCCTCCAAACTATCGAGTTGATCCTCGAGCTTGCGGAGCACCTGTCGGTCTTCGCAAAGCATGCGGTTGCGGAAATGGGGAGTCGGAGGTCCACATATTGGCTTCCTAGGGTTTAGGAGTTTAGGGTTTGTGGTTTGTTTTGTTGACCGCCCCTTTTCTCCTAATTGTTTCCAGGTCGCAGAAATGGGTTTAGGGTCTAGGGTTCAAGGCATTTTGGGTAACAGGGTATTGGATTTCTTTCAAAAGTGAAGGCATTGGCGGTTTGAGGATTACGTGCGGTGTGTCCCTGACAACATATGCACACGCAGAAGCCGACGCCACATGTTCACATTTGTCCGTTGTGCACACTAAGAACCCGCCGAGTTCACCGGGGAACGAGTTCAATTGGTATGTCCTGCCGTGCAGACAGTGATTTGGCCCGCATACTACACGATCTGCATGATCCAGCGGTCGACCCAGATCGAACCATGGGCATGCAACGGCAAACTTGTACTGCATGTAGAGAACCCTAAATCAGCAGCATCACAAGTTCGGATCGAAGGACCTGAAATTCTCATCGCGAAGCCCAACACGATACACCCAACACCCTGTACAAATCCTCGAGTTAACTCTTCCGTTATATATCCCTGAACTCTTTAACCCATATTTCCCACGGAGTCATCAACCCTGCTGACCTATGCTGCTAGGGCCGTTAGGGTTTCAAGCCTTTGAGAGTTACCCGAAGTCTTGCGCCTCCGTCACGCGACCCTCCTCCAGGCAGAAATGCCAGCAGCTCTCACCTCGAGACGAGCGCCCAAAGACTTGGATTCAGGGTTGTGATTGCTGTAGGGTGGCGGGGATGCTTCTGTTAGGGTTTTGTGGCTGAGGGGGCTTTCGGCATCTGAAAGACTTAGGGTTCTGGACTCGGGTCGAACAGGGTGCCAAGCAAAAAGAACAAGCTGCGCGGCCACGTTCTGCTCAACACGAAAATTGGCGAAGGGGCAACAAAACAACTTTACTGAGCATTGCGGCTGCAGTAATGGAAAATGAAGCTGTACTTAGATTCCGCAGTTGTAGGTTTTGATGCTTGTGGTCGTTGGAGGACCTGCGAACATGGTTTCTATGTTCCAGCTTCTACACGATAATAAGAAACATGATAAGTCAAAAAACACAGAAACAAATACCCATATATACACATACAAATATATTGTATCTGGAGTCATGTAGATAGAGACAGAATATAATCACGTAGTACACATCTCAATCTGACTACAGAAAAGGCTGATCTGAAGAGAGCTGAGGCTAAGCTCGAGGCTGCTGGCGGCAGGACTTAGCGGCACGGCTGTTGAGACCTCCTCAACAAAGGCAAAGCAGCAACTTCCAGAGTATCATAAGGGTTTATGAAATCCGTAACCCAGGCCCACAGCTCAGATCATTTTTGATTGCATCAGCTTCATTCTCTTGACAAGAAGAGAGAGCGTTTGGCTTTCATCACAAACGAGCTGCAGAGAATGATTTTGGCTGGGCTTCATGAATGGCCCTGGAGCGGTGGCAGTGGTGACGCATTATGTCAGATTAAAAACGCAACATGCCCAGCACTTCGTGACTTTCCCGCGTGGCGAACACACGGCTCTCGCAGGTGCACATGCAATTCATTTCCGCGGGAATGAATTTACAGCAAGGGAGGGTCATTTCCCAGTTCATATCACCACACACCCCTATACCCCACCCTACGCTTTTACACCATTTCTAAAGCCACCTGCTAATCCAAACCTCATGCCAAAACCCCTAAACCATAACTATCACCCAAATACTTTACCTTAGCCATTCTATAACCATTATCCTAACGATGAAGTGGGAAATGATAAGGCCTACAACCTCCCAAAGCCCAACATCCCACCTAATCCAAAAACCTC